GGCCGTGCACCGCCCCAGCAGCAGGTCCCACACTGCGACGGCTCCCGACGTCAGCACGGCCACGGCAGAAGCATCCTTCACGTCACCCTCCAGGTACCTAAGGTCGTACACAGAAGGGTCACAACGCTGCAGTTCGTTTGTCGAAAACACCATCGCATCGTTTTTTAAAATTAACTAGTTTTTAATGTAGAAAATTAATAAGCGAATTTATTAATCACAGCACAGGTGGAAGCAAGTTGTACCTTCAGTGCACCCGAGAACGAAGGATGTCAAGACAACCCTTCCGCAGCCTCGGTACGTGCTTGAAAATTGTTCGGTAGGGCAAGGTCTCGGCCCGCTAACGCCTGCGCACGCAGGCGGCGCGATGGCGGGCGCGAGCGCATCGCGGGACTGAGCCCGAAACAGCCGAGTCTTCGGAAGGCACGACACAGGAAAAGGTCATGGGGCTGCAGGCCGCCGCCGAGCATAAATAAACCCAGCGGCGGGCTCTTCGACACGACCGACGGCTCGGGACGCCTCGGCGGCGGACATTTTCTCAGGGGTTTTTGCCCGGGGAGTGTGCCGGACGAACCAACCCCGTTACAGCATTTCCACAATCACTTTCGGGGGGGGAGGAAGACAAAAGCGGGCGCGTGCAGAAAATCAATGCTCCCGTCCGTCAGCGGACCCGCGGTGAGCGGAGCCCCTTGCCGCGCGGTGACGCCGGGAGCTCAGAGGTCAGCGCACAGGCTGGCGCAGGAAGCGAGCAGGAAACGGCCGACGCCCTCGCCCCGCTCCAGCCCGTGTGCAGGACAGACGGCAGCGACGGATGCAGCCTCCTTATCATCGGCAAGACGGCAGATGGATCCTTGCCAGCAGTGCTGCTCAGCTCGTTAAGCGATTTCTCCCCCCAAAACCACCTCGAAGGAGCCATGAAGCCAGCACGCGGAGTCGCCCAGGTACTTGCCTTCCAGCGTGCCCAGGTGGGAGGGAGGAGAACATCACTCCCGCGCTCCTGGCTGTTTTGGGGTTGAACGCTATCACGCGGAACGCGGGGTTGCCACAGGACTCGCTCTCTTTGGCATGTGGATGACTTAAAACGACAAACAGAAGGCCCTGATACACAGAGGAAAAATACATCATTAAAAACAACAGCAAGAGGGGAAAAAAACCCCAAAGAATTTTCCAAAAATTAATTACTACGCTCTCTATAATCAAAGCCCCGTGGACAGTGATGCATTATTTTTACTGAATAAAATAGAAATGGTTTACTTTCCTTATCAAATTAGATAAAATCCAAAGCAGCTGCTGACTGATAAGGGCTGATGCAATACAGCAAAACGACAGCTCGGTGACCCAGTGGATTTATGCACTTATCTTTCTGCCTGAAAAAGCTAAACTTGCTGTAGGATGAGGCGACGTTTCAAGTAAAATTTCTAGGCCTCATTTGAATCCCCAGGAGCTTATAAATTTAACAAGAATTCCATGCAAACCAGCACAGCTGAAAACAGCGACTCTCAGAACAGCCACAGGCCAGCACGAAATATGCTGGGATAGATATTCTGAGGAAGTCTCCAAAGAGCCTGACTCAAGCCATCATTATCGGACAAGACATTCTTGTCCCAAAAGGTTAAATTGCTCACTGAAAACAATCAAATCCTTGATAAACTACAAAAATCCATCTGGAATCACAGCACAGGTGGAAGCAAGTGGGAAAGAATCGTTACTATGAATCTTGGTTTTAAACAGCTGATATCCTCGGGGCTACGTGTAAACAATAACCCCTTCAAATAGGTTTTCTGACAACGGCAGTGTGCCATCACCACGCTGGCAGCTACCCACCTGTGAAATGGAAGAGACTTACCGAGCACCAGCACGGGGCAACAGCACTTCTGCTTCCCACGCCCAAGATGCTGCTGCTTTGGAATACGCTTTGATGCATCGCTCTCATTTTATTAGTACGCTGCAGAAAGCCAAGAATTCCAGGCAGCCAGTGTGGCTTATTTCTCCTAGGCAACCTAGTTTCCTTTGAAATACCTTCAGTGTATCTAAATAGAGCCGATATTGCAATCCACTCTAGAAACCCTAATCCTTGAAGTCCCCACCACAGTTAGTCAGTGCAGTTCACGCATAAACCGTGTGTCACATTTCACATACGTACAGAGTCGGAATATGCTCGATGGCAGATGGAAGCTGGGTAGGAATAACCAACGTGCATCTTCTTCAGGAGCTGGCCTGTTTTCAGATTCCTGCAGTTGGTGAAAACACAAGTTCTGACTGCATTTCCATCCTCTATCTGTTATTTTCTAATCATAGTTACACCGCTATGCAAGACAGACACATTTTTGGCTTCACATAAACCCAACTAAGACAAGAGGCCGCGGGAAGGGATGTAATGAACGTGATGCAAAAGCAAGTGGAATTACGGCAGCACAGTTCGTTCACTATCTATCCAGCTGTACAGAAGTTCTACAGTGCCAGACTGCAGGCCCTCTGACAAGTACCATTTCACAGGCAAATCAGCTGCCAACCAACACCCCTAGATAACGTCTGCAGCTAGCTGTTACAGCCAGCACGTACACCTGCAAGCCAACCCATTTGACTGCGAAGGAAACACTGACCAAACAACAATGCTGTTCACTGCAGTGGTGCCAACCAAGGCGTCTCTCATTCCTTCTACTTCAGCAAAAGCTAAAACAGTTTCTTCGGGGGGCATCAAAGTCTGTCCGTCCTTGCTCCTGAATAGCAGATTAGCAAGTGAGAAAAGGCAGTCAAAATAATAAGTATGTGTTCTGTACTCAGCACATCTCCAGAAAGAAGAGGAACCTGATGCTTTTCTACATCTGTTTCCTTACTTTTCTTCCACCTGCCACAGTGAGACCACCCCAAAACCAGCACTCACCTTCCCGTCTCTGAAAGCGATACTATTTCCACTTGCTGCTCTTGCATGGTCCTGCTGCTGCTGACCAGCCTCCTATCCTTTAGCCCAAGAACAGCTTTGATATTTCCAGTTTTTAGTAGCGATTGCTTGAATGAGTCACTCTCAGAAGAATAAAGCAAGAGCCTAAATTAAGAGAAAAGTACGCCTCATGACAGAAGGAAGCATAACTCAAAGATGCCATAGCATATAAAAATAAGCATGTGTTTAAACAGTCTACCACCCCTAGGGGTGAATAAGCAAGTCTTTGTAGTTGATTTTTAGTAATCACTTCCGTATTTTCCAACTGTTAAAGCTCCTGAGAATGTGACACATTAGTAAGAGACAATTTCAACCACTACACAAGAGGAGAGTTAAGCTGCAGCTATTCAGGGTGTAAAGCGCTAGTAAGAAATAAATACACCACCTTATTTCTCCAATCTCCAAATCTCCCAATGCTATACACACGAGATTACAGGTGTCCGGCAGAGGAACGATCTGTATTACAGGAATCTAGGACAGCAAAACAAGAATTCAGTGTCACCCACAATGTCGCTTCGACTTTATTCCCATTTTCTAGAGTGTTTCAAGTAAAATGATATGGAGCAGAACTAATTTTCAGATCCCTCTGAAGAAGCACGCTTAGATTAACAGCTGAACTCTCTGCTGACTGCTTACCTAATTAAACAATCCCTGTTGATATAAGAGACAAAAAGTGTCTCCAGGGAGCGTAAGGGGAAAGAGCACAAGTCAGTGGCTGTAGTGCAGCCACCATTCAGTGCAGGAAGTATCCAATTCCAGCAGATAACACGCGGCCGTACAAGCTACTGGCCTTCTCCATCAGCAGTGCAAATCATTCTCCTCTGTTGCCTGATGGAAGGAAAAATTTATGCCACCTAAAGAACTTACCTTGCACCCAAGACTGCAAGCTCCTTGTATCTTGGGAACTAACACACTGGGACAAGAAAGTTGCCCTAAATTCTAGAAATAAGGAATGTGTTCATACCTCTCCGAGCTGCCACGTATAGACCTTTCCCCAGCGGTCGGATGCCAGAGGTTTCCACAGGGAGACAGAACTCTCGCAAGCGGTCACCACGCAGAGCCCTCTGCTGCCAGCTGCTTCCCACCACATGGTACTCACATCCACAGCGCAGGAACTTGACGAATCCTGTCCAAAACAAAACAGCGCTGGTTTTCTTCCGATAGACATGGTTATCTAACCCGGAGGTTCAGCCTGATAAAAATGCTTGACGTTCAGTGTGATGAGAATTTGAGGCTAAAACTTAATGCTTACGATGTATAATTTTGAGTAAAGTGCCAGTAAGGCACCAAGGAAAACAAGCCCGGTGGGTTTCACCCTCAGAGCAGCAAATACATTGGCTCACTTCACAAAGATCACTTGTCATTTGAAACGACAGGGACCCGGCAGAGCCCAGAGCTGGGACAGGACTGGGGCACAGGCACCACAAAGCCCGAGTGCCACCTACCTGCAGTCACGCGCTTGCTTCCCTTCCTGCACAAACAGGAGACGGGACTTGCAGTAGCACAGACTGAGTTTAAAACTAAACAAAGCAAGGGCCTTCTCTTCTCCCTTGTAAAAAAGTTTTCAGCTTCAGCCATATTATTGTTGGCTGGTTATGCTACCCCCCCAGGCTTGCTTCTGGAGCAAAACTTTGCACTTTGGTTTGGAAAAGCTAGAGGTGACCCAGCCCCTGGCAAGCTCATGTGGAGTTCAACGGGCTTTCCCACAGATGTTGCTTCCTTGCCTGCCAACCGTTCTCTGCCCCCTACGAGACACAGGACAGTGGAAGGACACCACTGCAGGAAGACGACCCGATGGCTCCGCTGTGCAAACAGTCCTGGGCCAGATTTGCCGTGGTCATGGCATGTTCAAGCAAGGCTCCTTTCCAGAAGGGTGTGAGCATCAACACGTGTATTTGGCAGTGCTGTAGTCCCTCACAAAATCTGCTCCTTACTGGGTTACTTAGTGCCTGAAATGGTGACAGGAGGCCACAGGAGCCACAGGGCAGGCAACAGGGGTACAAGGCTGAGATCATTTTACCTGGGGCTGAAGAAAAACGCAGCAGTTCTGTTTGTTAAGACATTTGCATGTGTTTAGACATTCATTATTCAGAAACAAACACTGAAATCCTTTATCAGTCAAAAGGAGTTATACAGCAATCTAACCTTTCAGCATGCGTTACCACAAGTGAAGACAGAACTGATCAAATTAGACAGCAGTCTATTTTGTTCAACTAGCCATTCTGCATTTTTTATTCCATTTTTGTTAAACTTGGTATTAAAGAGCTGCTACTGACTCAGTAAACAACTATCCGATGTTATCCCACCTTTAGCTTTGATACAAGCTGCAAGCTCTCTTCTCTCAGGCCATCAAGCAGTACCGGAGTCAACTGTCCTGCTACATCTTTTTTCTGCACAAACAAGTAAAGAATGAGGATAATTCAACTTTGAAATTACATTCAGCACCTGCAAGAATGAGGCAGAAGCGTGAGTTCACTGTGCACGCAGTTGTTGGAGAGCTATGGTAGGAGCACCTCTTTTTGTACTTGCAAGTCTTTGAAAAACAAGAGATCCCAGGCAGGTTATTTCCTGGTTTCACCTGAAAATTGTCTTTTACCACCACTTTGCCTCTCTCAGCCTTCAGAGACAAGTCATTCTCTCAATACCCATCCCGCATGCGAGTCATTTAATCTCCTTTACCAAATCCTAGCTGAAAATTTTCCGTAAGGTAGACCAACGCTATATGGGCACGAGAAACTTTTTGTTCACATACACGTTTCAAACATGCATCCTGCAGTAAGCGTTGACACCCACATCGCCAGTTTCATCAAGCAGGATTTTAAAGAATTTGCTCTTGAGGTCAAAAGACCTTAGGCAACAGATGGCAACCAAACATTTACTAAGTCAGCTAAAAGACAGCATGCAGGGCTTGCATGCAAACAGTCAGGTGAGACTCTGGAAAAGGGGATTTGCCCACAAAACCACTGGCTTAGGACCCTCGGCAAAGAGGCCAGCTTGTTACCTGTTCAGGAGAAGCTCTGCAGGATCTCTGCTGTTTGCTCTCTGACTGCTGATGCTTCTCCAAGGCCACAGCCTCCTCAGGTTTATTATCGGGACCTCTTTCAGCTTCTAAAGGAAACGTTGTACCTTGTTCCTCCTCTTTTCTAGCAGATCCTGCACCACAGCTGTCCAAGTGCAGCGGAATGGCAGAGTCTTTGCATTCCCCATCGTCCACAACCTGGGCGGGTGCTCCTTTGGAGGGGTGCAGGCTCACTTGCGAGGGAGGTACAGAAGGTGTATTGGGGAAGACCTCACTGCGTACTGATGGTGAAACAGCTGGGGTTGCACCCACGACAGGGAAAACAGATGAGGAAATCTGAGACTCAGGCTGATTGGGAGCACCAGCTAAGACAGTCCCCATGGGAGTAAATAGCAATTCATGGGTGGAAAGTTCCTTCCTGGAAGCTGGGCTTTCTAAGTGAGGTAACTTGGGCAATCCATTTTTGAAAGGCGAAATCAAATTACTTTTGAGACTTTTTTCTTCTGGATTCGTCTGTGCATCTTGCGTGTCCTCAGAAGCCACACCATCTCCAAACACACTAGGGACAAAAACCTCCAAGTCATTCACAGGGGAAGATTCTAATTTCTCAAGTTTTAGTAGTCCAAATTCCTCATCCGGTAAGTGAAAGTCTCGGATACCCAGTCTGGGGGCCAGCCACTGGAGACTGCGGAAGGAGAAGAGAGAGCCACAAGTATCGGGGTCCACAGCAGGGAGGCCAAGAGAAGCAGGACCCTCTGAATGTGTCGGATAGCTACATCCTCTTTTGCTCTCATCTAGAAAAACAGAGGAATACAAGAGAGAACATCACACATCGTAGAATAACCAGCAACTAGCCTTTTCAGAATATCTCATCCAGAGCGTCACTCTAATCTATTTAAAAAAAAAAAAAAAAAAGCGATATCCATCTTAACACATGGAAGTGGCACTTTTCTGGAAAGACATTACGCTCCGCAATTGCTCTGCATCAAGCCTTCAGCTAAAATATCATCGCCAAAGACTGCCAGAATCGACCGAGTGCTTGGCCGGTTTGTTTCGTTTGGTTTTCTCCCAACACCTTCTCTTCCCACACCATTCACAGACCCTCAGACTGTAATGCTACTCTTTGTGTTTCACACTTGTCAGCACTAAAAAAAAAAATAAATCATTAATATGCAGACTTAGTTGGAGAACCAGATTTACATCCATTTGCTGGGAAAATCAGGTCCAGTGTGCACAACGTGCGCTCCAACAGCGAAGGCAGCTTAAGAAGTTCTCAGCCCGGCTCCTCATCCATGCACTGCCATTCACTCCCCGTCACTGTGCTGAAGCAGAAGTTTCTGGAATTGTTCAAGGAACATGGGCACCAGAATGACCTAAATTTTTAAAAAATCTCTCTTATTTAAAAAAAAAAATAGTTAACCCATATCAGATTTTCTTGAATAAAAAAATATGGCAGGGCATGAACAGCAGTGCATGCACTCACTGGGACGTTTCCCTGCCTTGCTCTCGGGCTGTGGTTTTAGGGAGCCCTTGTATTTGATGACGTACCTTTTGAGACTTGACTGGCTCTCTGTCTTGCAGAGGAACGCAGGGAGCGGCGCAGAGGGACATTAATCGCTAGGAGCTGCTCAGCCCCTCGCACGTGCTGATTCTTAACATGCTCCACTGGGTGTTTATCAGCCTGACACACAGTTAAGTTGGCTTCCAGATCTCCTGCATGGCTGGCAAAAGTTTCATTCCCTGGGTTCAGAGAATCGCTGTTCTGAAGCGGATTTTGAACCTGTTCTAACAGCGTCTTACGGCATTTGCCAAGCACTTGGCTTCCTCCAGGAGGAGGATCGGCACTCATTGGCTGTACGGCGCCCGTCACTTCTGTCTCTCCAGACCCAAGAGCTGCAGCAGCAGCCAACCTTCTCTCATCCGAAGATGATTTTTCAAGATCAGCCTCACAGTTCTCCTTTTCACTCTGACATTCATTTGACAGCAGGCTACTGCTGTCCCTCGTTGTTACAAGATCCAAACTTTCTATAAGTTCTTGTGACACTTGATGCACAGGGGGCTTGCAGGTAGACTTCCTTCTTCCCTTTTGTTTCCTCTGTGATCGTCTCTGATCGTGCTTTGTGCTAGTGACACTGTTTTGAGAAATCGATCCAAGTGAAGTGCTGCTACCACTGGGTGCAGGAAGAGATTTCTGAGGACTACTTGAATTTGCTGGATCATTTTCTGCACCGAGGAAAGGGAACGGCACGAACCCTGACTCCAAATCATTTTCAGCTCTTTCTTGGGAGGGCCGATCTGCACTTGCGTCTTTCTGCTTGCACTTACTTCGCTGACCTTTCTTGCTTCTGCCCAGCTGGCTGAGAATTACAGCATCAAGGTCCACTTTCCTCTGGCAATTAGACATGCGTCGAGTTGTCCTGACGTAGTATTCAACCGGAAAGAGAAGCCCTTCAACCATCGTGCAAGAGCTCAGTCCGCTTTCAGGAGCTGTTGCCTTTTCTGGATGAGAAAGTCTCGACCGAATTTCAAGCTGTTGATTCTCCAACAGTTCTTCAACATTGCCCAGAGCAAGATCTGTAGGAAAGGGGTTTAAGCTATTAGCGTCACTTTGATTTCCTTCATGGCTCTCACTCTCATTAGTTATACTGTTATTTCCGTCAGCAGGCAATACTTCATTTTCTGACACTAAACCCAAGAGCCTACGTAATTCTCCCTGATCTTCACACATACTCTCACCATCCGTTGGGTTTATTACACTGGAGGATTCTTTTCCTCCATCGCCACTGGTGTCAAGTAAAACAGAGTCACGGTTCTCTGAACACAGCCATGCAGGCTCACAGTCACCAGGTGTGGCCACAGCGCGTGGGGACTCAGGCTGCCAGACATCGCTGCTGTCCCTCAGCGCACACAGGAACAGCTCGGGCACTCCTGGAGGGACGCTGTCTTCAGGCACGTCTTGCACAACTCCTAACGCCGCATCGGCAGGAGTGAAACCGTTTTCTTCTCTCTGCACAAGTGCTGGTCTGGATGCTCTTTGAGCGTTTTCCTCAGCGTTCGAGAGGCTGCTTCGCCTGAAGACTGGCGACCGAAGTTCCTCTGTACTGGCAATTTGATTTTTCACCGTTTCATCAGCGTTGATTAGATGCACGTCACGCACTGATTCCCTTTCCTCGGATACCGGAGCCTTCGTCCGTCTCCTCAGCTTCATCAAGCTTCTGGAGGTTTGGGTTTTTTTCTCCTCAGGGGCAGGCCTAACCGTTCCACAGCACAGGTTTTCCTGGCTAGCCTGTATGCTTTCTGCCCGTGAGCTGTCCTGCAGGCTAACCTCATTACTGGAGAATTCGGGGACGTGTTTAAATGTGACAGACGTTTTCTTCTCTGTGTCAAGATCAGAGCAGGTTTTAGTCTGTAACTGAGAGGTTTCTTGTTTGTCAGCACTAGGAGATACGCGATCTCTAGAACCTGTGGGAAAAGATGTCGTATGTGTGAAGTACTCCCAGCAAAGTCCCATCCAAGAAAAACATCACACAGTAAAACCAGGCG